CAACCTGCACTCAACCCCACAGTGCTTTACCACAACCTTAGCCACTTGAGCCACAGGTGCTGAGCCAAACTTTCATTCTTATGTACCGACAACCAAACATTTAAAAAAAAAAACACACTTTACTACAGCAAATTAGGTTTTCTCTTATCTTTATATAGAGATTAGTTTTATCAGCCTTCAGCAGCTAGCTTTAGAAGGAAGAAGTACTCAGATACTTTGAAGGATAAAATTGTTTTTAGTCTTTCTGGATGTATTCTAACTAAACATAGACACTACATAAAATGAAGCCATTCAAACTTTAGAAACATAACCCTTTATTGTCAAGCATTTGTGACAGTTTTGTCTCTCTAAAGGAGACAAGAAGTTTGAGCATTGTGGGCCTTTTAAAGGGAAAGAGGAGTGGGTAGGCTCATCCAGAGGTGCTACTAGAACAAGCCAGCATCTGACATACTCCCACCACAGTCTGCTTTATCATCCCTTTTAAAAAGTCTGGAACAATACATAGCATAGCAAAACAAATAAGTTACTTTCCATCTCTCAAAAAGTAAGTTCAAAGGTTGAAGCTGCCTTGAAAGGGCTTCTGGACAGCTGCCTCCAAAGAAGTGAGCTTTCCTTTTTTAACTTCCTTAGCTCCAACCGGTGGAAGATAAGAAGCCCCTGCTTTCCACATCTCAGGATTCCAGATGACATTTAGTTAGACTTGGGATCTCTTTGTTTGGGCATCTCTCCTTCCCCTTCCAAATCCATTTCTGCAGCAACTGACATACATAGGACCTGGAGGTACTTTGTGGTAGATGCTACAAAGAGAAACCTGAGTTGAAACTGGGAATGGGTCAACAGGGCTGAGTTTAAGTGGTACTGAATAGGACTGGGCCTGAGGGAAGTGATTCAGTTAAGCTGAAGGGTTAAAAGCAGGAAGGGGCTAAGGCAAAGGTGTCCTAGGAACCTAGATTTGCAGAAAAGGCAGAAACCAAGCCTTAACAATACTCACCCACAATCCTTCGGAGGCAAAGAGGCCGTTTGTGTTCTGGCACTCTGACGACGAAGAAGTAAAAGGGCAAGCCTGAGAGGGCAATGGCTATGCCGATGAGGGAGTTGATGGTGTCACTGTAAAGTGGAACAGCCACCAGGAAGATGGTGCAGAGGCAGAAGACAATGGGGAAGAAAATACTGAGCTAAGGACAGAGGAGATACAATTAGGGGTTAGATAACCCAGGATTCTTAACAGCTAAAATAACCCTACCTCCCATAAAGACTAGAGCCCTGAACCTTCTTTCCATCCCCTTTCTCTCAAAATGCACTGCCACCACCAGGTGCTAGGCAAAGGTTTCTGAATCCACTGCCTTTTAAGTATCCCCTGTAGCAGCAGCTCTAGCTGTTCTAGATAGACAAAGGTAGAATGAAGGTGTGTTACCTTGAGGGGACGAGGTCGATCTGGCTCCTTCCAGCGCAGGTAAAGCTGACCCACAATAGAGAGCCCCACAAAGAACCAGTAGCTGAAGCTGTAGTAGTTAATGAGCTGGAAGATGTCCTCCACACACAAGTAGATCAGTGCCATGATACCCTGTAAGTATGAGCCCAAGTCACTTCCTCCCATAGTCTGGGTCACTCAAAGTGCTTTTCATTCCCTTTATCCCCCACAAATCCATCCCCACCTCCTTGTTCTCCTCTGTTCCACTCCCTTTACCACTCTAGTTTCAGTACCTCCTTCTGAACTGGAAGTCAGTAGCCTCTCAACTGGTTTTTCAGTCATTCTTTAAGTTAACCCTCTATAAAGCACACCTCAAAACAATCCTCTAGGCTAGGCACCCGTACCTCAATAGCTAGGGCATCAGCCACATGTACTGGAGCTGGCAGGTTCAAATCCACCCCGTGCCTGCCAAACAACGACAACTACAACCAAAAAGCTGAGCATTGTGGTGGGCGCCTGCAGTCCCAGCTACTTGGGAGGCTGAGGCAAGAGAATCCCTTAAGCCGAAGAGTTTGAGGTTGCTGTGAGGTGTGACATCACAGCACCTCTACCCAGGGTGACATAGTGAGACTCTTGTCTCAAAAAAAAAAAAAAAAAATCCTCCAAAAATCCTACACAAGACCCTTCTCATGATGGCTCTAACCTACATTTTTCAGCTTGTATTTCCTACTACAGATTGAATATCCCTAATCTGAAAATCTAAAATGCCCCCGATGAGCATTTCCTTTGAGTGTCAGGTCAGTACTCAAAAAGTTTCAGATACTGGAGCAGATTTTAGATTTTCCAATTTTAAACAAGGGATATCCAACCTGCACTCAACCCCACAGTGCTTTACCACAGGGCTTTCTGATGCAATTTCTCTTACATAAAGCCCATCTCTACCATTTGCAATCCCAACTTTCAAAATGCACTTTGTCCAATAAGTATTTTTTCATTCACCCTCTAACCCATGGAAGTGATCCTTTCTTCCCTTACATATTATTCTCTATTTGCCATGGCAATCAATTGTTTCAGTGCAGTCCATATACTTTATGCCTTATCTTAGACTGCAAGTGGTCACCACCATTCCTTATAACAGTTAGATTCTCTCTGTAGCAGTTAGTACTGTGCCTGGCCCACAGCAAGTGTTTTGTTCCATAGATAGTTTTTTTATCAGAATCTCCTTTAGAGCTTTCAAAAAGCTAGAACAATCACTTTATTGTTAGAAAGTTTCCCCCAACAGCCTGGCTTTCAGTCTCATCCATAAGATCACTTACATTAAAAAGCAGAGAAGGAACTGGAGTGAATCGCTCAACGTGGATCATGCAGATGGCATCAGGGAGATGGCCTTCTCTTGAGCCCACAAAGAAAAGCCTATGGTAGGTAAGATAGGAGAGGCTAAGAAAATTGTGGGACATGTATCCTGGTTCACCTGCCACATGGTCATTTCCTTTCTTCAAAAGAATTTGAATAACATGGAATGGAGTTCAGTATGGAGATTAGTGAGAACTGGAGAATGCTAATGGGAACAAGAAAAAAGAGGTTGGGCCAAGTGTAGTGGCTCACACCTGTAATCCTAAGGATGAGGTAGGAGGATCCCTTGAGCTTAGGAGTACAAGACTAGTCTGAGCAAGAGCAAGAGCCTGTCTCTACTAAAAGAAAAACTAACTAGGCAGTGTGATGGCCACCTGTCGTCCCAGCTGCTCAGGAGGCTAAGGCAGGAGGATCACTTGAGCCCAAGATTTAAGGTTGCTGTGAGCTGATGACAACGCCATGGCACTCTACCAGGGCAACAGAGTGGGACTCAAAAGAGGCTGTGGTGTCATCTGGAGAACACAGGTGATTAACGTCCAGATCCTGTAAGTTCTACCATCCCTAGACCGGGTGCAGTGGCACATACCTATAATCCTAGCACTCTAGGAGGCCAAAGCAAGTGAATTGCTTGAGCTTAGGAGTTCAAAAGAGACCAACCTGAGCAAGAGTGAGACCTCACCTTTACTAAACAAACTGAGGCAGGGCAGTGCCTGTGGCTCAGTAAGGCACCGGCCCCATATACCGAGGGTGGCGGGTTCAAACCCGGCCCTGGCCAAACTGCAACAACAAAAAATAGCCAGGTGTTGTGGTGGGCGCCTGTAGTCCCAACTACTCAGGAGGCTGAGGCAAGAGAATCGCCTAAGCCCAGGAGTTGGAGGTTGCTATGAGCTGTGTGATGCCACAGCACTCTACCAAGGGCGATAAAATGAGACTCTGGCTCTAAAAATAAATAAATAAAATAAAAATCTTAGGGAAAAAAAAACTGAGGCAAAATGGTCACATGAGCCCAAGAACTTGAGGTTGCTGTGAGCTATAATACCATGACTCAGGGTGCCAGAGTAAGATGCTGTCTCAAAAAAATAAATAAAAGATCTACCATCCCTGCCCCAGCAAAAGGTGCCACTCTTACCTAGAAGCAGCCACAATGGAGGCATTGAGGCCACCAAAACAGGATAATGCAACTGCCAGTGGAATTGTCCAATTGAATATTCCAAAAATCTGGTCTGCAAAAGTCTAAGAGAAAGGAATGGAAGAGAATGATTAGCAGGAGCTAAAAGGAATGAAAGACTTGGTCAGGCATACCCCCAGTAGGGGGGATCTACTGGGAATGCAACCCTTCTTCTACAATGAGGGTAATAGGACCTTCCTGCAAGCCTCATATCCTAATTGAACTCCTTCAAGGCTGTCAACCCCTTTTCCAAGACTTTCAAGAGTTAGGATATACCCAGTAGCCCACAACACACCCTCAACCCTCTCCTGCTAGGGAAAATCCTTTACCACAGCAACAGCATCACTGGCCAAGATGTCCCTCATGTCTAGCACCGTATAATAGGCCACATTGGTCAAGATGTATATGATGGTGACGATGGGCATGGAAATGCCAATGGCGAGCGGCAGGTTCCTACCACCAAGAAAAATAAAGGACACATTAGTCTCATAGTCACATCCCTATCTCCCCTTTAATCCTTGAACTCTGTCTACCATACTAGTCTTTCCATGTTGGAGAATCCTTCTGCACTTCCTCTGTGCACTGACTTTGAGGTTGCCCAGGATATTGGTTGAAGCTCTGAACTCTTAAGTACTAAAGAGCATTAAGGGGAAAAAGTATCCATTTAGGAGAAAGGGCTATCCAAAAAAAGAAGGCTAGGCAAAATGGCTCACGCCTGTAGTCCTAGCACTCTGGGAGGCCAAAGCAGGTGGATTGCCTGAGCTCACAAGTCCGAGACGAGCCTGAGCAAGATCAAGACCCTGTCTCTAAAAATAGCTGGGCACTGTGGCAGGCACCTGTATTCCTAGCTACTCAAGAGGCTGAGGCAAGAGAATCGCTTGAGCCCAATAGTTTGAGGTTGCTATGAGCTATGATGCAATGGCACTCTACCAAAGGCAACAGAGTGAGGCTCTGTCTCAAAACAAAACAAAAAAAACAAAGAACAATGTCACAGCATAATATCAGTACAGGAAGATGGGAGGCTATTTTGTTTTTTACATTCAAAGGTCTCTTGGTGTCAGGATTCCATCTATAAGATTATCAATATTCGAAATTGTGTTTCAAATTAGAGAAATAGAAGAAACTATGGAGGCAAATTGTGAAATCTAACATCTCCAGAGAATAAGATAGACCTATACAAACAGCAACTTGTGTATCTGAAAAAGCAACACAGGAGACATGTCTACCTAACCCTCTTCCTCAGTTTGAGAACCTCGGAAGTATCCTAGCTGGTGGCCAAAAGAAAGATGCAAAGACTTCTTCATGTTCCGGTAGCCCAATAAAGCCATGATTCTTATAAACATTCTTGACAGACTATGAAAAAGGAAGCCAGGTGCAGTGGCTCACACCTAAGTGAGTGGCTTAGCACTCAGAGAGGACAAGGGGGGAGCTCCCTGAGCTCAGGAGTTTGAGACCAGCTTGAGCAAAGTTGAGACTCCATCTCTAGTAAAAATAGAAAACTTAGCAGAGTGTGGTGGTGCGTGCCTGTAGTCTCAGCCTCTCTGGGAGGCTGAGGCAAGAGAATCACTTGAACCCAGGAGTTTGAGATTACCGTGAGGAAGGCTGATACCATGGCCCTCTAGCCTGGGTGACAGAGTAAGATCCCATATCAAAAAAACAGTCAACCAGAGAGAAGAGGGGCAAATACTCTGGAGGCATTCAAATTCTGTCCAGTAGGTGGAGGTACTATCTAGGCCTGGCTCCTGCTACTATTATCTCAGCTCCTATAGCTGCAAAACTGGACATGTACCAAGAGTGGTCTTTGTTTCTCAAGCTGTTTCTTGGTAAGAGATTATTATTCTTTTGACTTGAAAATTTACAGAAACTCCATTCCCTGGAAAATATTAGTTCCCAGAATCACAGAATTTTAGACTCAGGAAAGGCCCTGAAAACTATGTAATTCAATTCCCTCAATTACAGGTAAGGAGGCAGCAAAGAGATGGTGGGGCAATTCCCTCAAGGTCACCCTGCAAATCACTGGAAAGACAAATTTTAGGCTTTTTTTTTTTTTTTTTTGAGACAGAGCCTCAAGCTGTCACCCTGGTAGAATGCTGTGGCATCCAACTCCTGGGCTTGAGCAATTCTCTTTCCTCAATCTCCCAAAGTATCTGGGACTACAGGTGCCTGCCACAGTGCCCAGCTATTTTTTGGTTGTAGTTTGGCAGGCCAGGCTGGATTCGAACCTGCCAGCTCTGGTGTATGTGGCTAGCACCTTAGCTGCTTGAGCTATAGGCACTGAGCCAAATTCTAGGCCTTCTGAATCCCTGTCCAGTGCTCTTGTCACTCTGCATGATTACAGGGTTTGAGTGACTGAAAAAATATCACTGTACCAATATGAATTTGAGAAACCACACACTGATCAAAGGGGAAACAGAAAGGTTTCTGTAAGTCTATATCCTAAAGGGAACATATTGTGGGAAAGGGTAAGTTTAAGATCTATCACTTAGGCTC